TTCTATATGTACTCTTATATATATCAGAGACCTCGTCCTTAAAGCTGAAAATGTCCTCCGGTCAGCCGTCGTTGGTAAGTTTTGAGGTTCGTGATTCTTAACGCACCGGCCTTATTATTTCTGCTACGGAAAACGACGTCTCGAGGACATCAAATAAAGCTGCAGCTGCATTGAAGTAGGTACCCATCGTACCTTTGGTTTGGACAATTATACGGGAGTATATCTACTGAACGCTTCCGCTGTCCAAGTTGAAGTCTCTGATAACGGGGTTATTATCGTTTCTACACACACTGCTTCCTACTGGTGTCAGCGAAAGTTCGCCATCACTTTTTCCCTTCCGCTTTTGCGTCTTTTACTGTTAAGAAGTCCAGTTTGGCGAGTATACGTGTACTTTCGACAAATTCTTGTCAAACCTTACATTTATATGGAAACTGGGTGCGAGTCGAAAGTACACGTATACTCGCCAAACTGGACTTCTTAATTCTCTGATGGGAATTTTTGCAACTCTTTTACCGTTGTCAAAAGGAATACCATATATACGTTTGATTTTGCTTCCAACTATGCATTGGCTAAGGGAAACGAGCCAAAAATTTTGTTTGTAGCTCCTATCACAGAAAGAAACGGCGGATGTGATCTCTGGTGTCGCAGCCGCTGCGTAAAATGTCTTATTAACGTTATAACAGTAGATGTCTTGTGTGTATATTAGTGTGTGTGGGCCCGCCGACGGAAAGTCAGAATGCAGTGACTCCTCATTATGCCTGTGTGACTTACTTACTTGTACTTGTTACGGCTTTTATCATGCCTGATCTAGCCGGCCTCTGCATATTATTCGCCCGCACCACCGGACAAGGGTTGCGGAGCGCGTCGGTTGCCGCGGACGCCGTAGCATTGGTCGAAGTAGAGTAAGTGGACATAACATGAAGTTTTTTGGGAATTTTGAATACAGGCGGGACCCCAACGGCCGCTCGGATTCTTTGTTCGAGGTTGTCTCCTCTAGCACTTTGGCTCAAGAACCTAACCACAAGGCCTGTGTGACGCTCCCACTCCGAGAGATTCGAACTTTGGGTGGCTCCGGCCGCGCTAAGCAAGTACGCCCTCTCTGCCTCCGGTCATCTTACACCGGCCATGACACCGGATCCAACTGCGAGTTCATTATAATCTAATTCACGCGCAAGTCACC